AATCATCTGTTTCCCTAACCCCCCCACCCCTTACAAAGAATCCCCCCTCCCCTCCCCCCCCCCCAATGCCCCACTACAACGGGCTAAGGTTTTCCCTTTCCAGGGTGGAACTCCCCTTTTAAAACCTTTTTGCTTTCTCCCCATACACTTATCCCAAAATTTTCCTTTTAATCCATAACCTGGGCGTAGTTTGGGGTTCCGGGACGAACACCACTCACACATTTGGGACCCAAATATTCCCCTAAACCAACACCAAATTTTTTCTCCCGGGTTTCAATTTTCCCTTAATTTTTCAAAGGCATGCACTTTAACTTACAGATTTTTTTCCTTCTTGACCCTGGTACTGCCCTTTCCACCAGATCGGTTTTGTGAAAACCTCGGGGCCCTCTCCCCCCCTTTAGAAAGCTCTAACCAACCGCCCCGTAGGGCCGCCCGTTCCTCTTGCGTAACATTTCCGGGCCCCCGGGCTTTTTCCCGTGCGCTGACAGGCGTATTTCCTTCCTCGGAGTCAATATGCAGCAGCGCGCTTCCGTGACTCCCTCTCTTTTTCCCTCTTTTCGTCTGATACCCTTTTTCCCGGTGGACTTTCCCCCTCCCACTTTGCATAAAAATTTTTACACACTTCGCAGTCCTCAGATCCTTTTCCCCGCCCGGAAACCACAAAAAACCCCAAAAACAGATCTGGGGCTCCCAACCTTCCCAAAAACTCTTTCACCAATAAAAACAATTTTTTAAAGCCATGGGGTAATGAGTTTCCAAATCGCTTGCCCGCAGTTGGGGGGTCCCCTTCCAACACCCCGAGCTCGTTCAATGAAGGGGTTCCCCCCCCCCCGTCCAACCCGCTGACTCCACTCCTCCGCTCTCTCACCTCCTCACTCCAGGGCCCCCTTTTGTAGGCAGAGGCAATAAGGGAAAACCTCACTCTTCCCCTATTGCGAAAGTCGTTGGGCCCTTTTTTTCCTTTTTGCCCCCCCCTTTTTTACAACCCGAGGAGGGGATCTTTCCCCCATAACCGACAGGTCCGGCGTTGCCCCGGTTTTGTAAAAAACCCGGGGGGAAATTTTTGGGCAGATACCCACGGAAAAGGGTTACGTAAAACCAAACTCAAGAAACGGGCCCCGAGGTTTTCCCCCCGGGGAGGGGCCCTTGGGGGCCCACCCTTCCCCGTGGCCATAGGGACGGGCCAATTTGGGCCCATCGCGCGGTGAAATTATCCCCCCGTTGGGGGAAATTTAAAATTTTAAACCCTGTTTTAATTGGGGGAAAACGTCGTGAAATTCCCCCGAAACACCGCGGAGTTTAAATGTCAAAAATAACCCCCTGGTACTTGTCACTTTCCGCCTCTACACACTTGCCAAATTTAAAATTGCAAGAAACCCCGTTTCCATTTTCCCCTACTCAATTTATCTTTCGTCGAAAAACCCAAAGTATCTGTATTATTTTCAGGGAAGGGAGCGGTTCCCCTAGAAAATTCCTGTCACAGGGGGCCCCGGATAACTCAACACCCGATTGTGTTTTTGGTCTCCGGGGGGCCTGCCCATGCTGTGAAAATATAACTGCCACTAATCAACACCAGGGGGTTTTTGCAGCGGCCCCGTTTTCCCAATCGGCTTGGGAAAGAAAGATTCCTTTCCTGTGAATATTAAAAAAACATGTTTATAAAATTTTAAGTCTCTTCTCCCCAAAAAACACTTTCCCACCCACAACTTTAAAAAAAATAGGGGAAAATTTGTATCTCATAAATTGTATCTCATAAATGTTTCTCATAACTGTATCTCACAAATGTCTAACCTGTGACCTAATCAAACTTTTTTTTTTAAATACATTACTTAACAGAATACTCCATTCTACTGAATGCTCAGCAACACAGTAAATGACCATATGACCTGTCTTTGTAATACTCATTTGTGCTAAATTGTTATCTGTTTACAATAATGTTTTTACCACTGAATATATCATTGCTTAGTTAATCTTAAGTTAATTTTAAGCCTGCCCATAATGCTCTGCATACAAGGGGCTTTGGCATGTTGCACTGTAAAAACTGGATTCCTTTGGACTTCACTGTATCATGTTCAAATTAATAAATAAATAAATAAATGTCATCACTTGTGTCATCACAGTATAATGAATGTCGAAATATTAAATGACGTATTCACAAGGTCACTCTTCTTTCTCGAAATATTTCCCTTTATGGGAAATGTTGAGTGAATGCGTGGGGAGTTTTGAATCAAGTGTGAGAGTAATGGTGGTTGGGGATTTCAATGCTAAAGTGGGTAAAAATGTTACGGAGGGAGTAGTAGGTAAATTTGGGGTGCCAGGGGTAAATGTAAATGGGGAGCCTTTAATTGAGCTATGTGTTGAAAGAAATTTGGTAATAAGTAATACATATTTTATGAAAAAGAGGATAAATAAATATACAAGGTATGATGTAGCACGTAATGAAAGTAGTTTGTTAGATTTTTGTATTGGTGGATAAAAGGTTTTATGGGTAGGCTCCAGGATGTACATGTTTATAGAGGGGCAACTGATATATCGGATCATTTTTTAGTTGTAGCTACAGTTAGAGTAAGAGGTAAGATGGGAAAAGAGGAAGGTGGCAACAACAAGTAAGAGGGAGGTGAAAGTGTATAAACTAAGGGAGGAGGAAGTTCGGGGGAGAAATTTAAACGACTGTTGGCAGAAAGGTGGGCTAGTGCAAAGATGAGTAGTGGGGGGGGGGGGGGTTTGAAAAAGGGTTGGAATAGTTTAAAAATGCAGTATTAGAATGTGGGGCAGAAGTTTTTGGTTATAGGAGGGGGGGGCAGGTGGAAAGAGGAGGATTGGTGGAATGAAGTAAGGGTGTTATAAAAAAGAAAAAGTTGTTAGAGAGGTTTTTAAAAAAGCAGAATTGTTATAAGAAGAAAAGGTATATGGAGACGAAAGAAAGGTGAAGAGAGGGGTGAAGAGTGCAAAAAGGAAGCAGTGATAGATGGGAGGGGCACTGTCAAGAAATTTTAAATGAAAATAAAAAAAATTTTGGAGTATTTTAAAAAAGTTAAGAAAGCCTAGGGGAAAATGGGTTTTCAGTTAAAAAAGAGTGGGGGTTAGTAGATGGGGGGTGGAGGATTTGGGGAGATGGCGAGAAAATTTTGAGGGAAATTTTTAAAAAAAGTTGAGGAAGAAAGGGGGGCGGAAAATTTTAAGCCCTGGTCAGGGGGGTATTCCATCTTTTAGGAGTGAAGAAGAGCAGAAATTAAATGTGGGGCGGTACGCGAGGCATTTTCGTAGAATGAAAGGGGGGAAAACAGCTGGGAAATGATGGGTCATGACAGAAAAGTTAAAAGAGGGGGGATATAGTGTTTTTGGTGGTTGGTACTTTTTTTTTAAATTATGAAAAAGGGGAAGGGGACCTGGGATTGGCGGAGAGCTGTTTTTGTCCCCTTTTATAAAGGAAAAGGTGTTAGTTTTAAATTTTATATGCCCCCATACCCACCTGTGGGGGGTAGTCAAAAAGATTTCAGAGGTACATAATGGTCCCCGGGACTGGATTCCAAATTTTTTTAGTGAAAGTAAAAGGGGAATGAGCTCACAAGTTTTCAAAGGGAAAGGGAAATTTGTACAAAATGGGGGATTACAAAATTTTTAAAATGGCTACAATCATGAACAAATTATAGTGTAATGAGCAATGGGGACAAAAGAGATTGTAAAAATTATAGAGGAATAAGTTTATTGAGTATACCAGGAAAAGTGTACGGTAGGGTTATAATTGAAAGAATTAGAGGTAAGACAGAATGTAGGATTGCGGATGAGCAAGGAGGTTTCAGAGTGGGTAGGGGATGTGTAGATCAAGTGTTTACATTGAAGCATATATGTGAACAGTATTTAGATAAAGATAGGGAAGTTTTTATTGCATTTATGGATTTAGAAAAGACACATGATAGAGTGGATAGGGGAGCAATGTGGCAGATGTTGCAAGTATATGGAATAGGTGGTAAGTTACTAAATGCTGTAAAGAGTTTTTATGAGGATAGTGAGGCTCAGGTTAGGGTGTGTAGAAGAGAGTAAAATCATTAATGGTTGAACTTTTATTTGTGGTATAATTGCCATCTTCTGCATATCAGTGAAAATGAGATTGGTGGGACACCTTAACATTGGCTTTGTTGGCCTGATAGATAGTAGTAAGACCATAATTTAGAGATTGGGATGGGGGGGGGGGTTGAAAGATTCAGGCAGTCCATGAGGACTACTTCCTAGGCCTAACTCTTGGCCTGGTGAGGGTTTTACCATCTTCTAAATCCCATGGAACCATCCTTCAACTTCTTTTCGTAGTTAGTCTAACTTGTGTAGTGACTTCAATGCAAATGTATTTTTATGAAGGATATTACAAGTTCACTGTGAGGGTAAACTTGGGTTGCAAGTACTTTTACAGCAATATCTTCGCCTGAAGGAGGGGTGTTAATGTTGCAGTTTAAAAACTGTAGTGTAAAGCACCCTTCTGGCAAGACAGTGATGGAGTGAATGATGGTGAAAGTTTTTCTTTTTCGGGCCACCCTGCCTTGGTGGGAATCGGCCAGTGTGATAATAATAATAATAAATATTCGCCTTAGTGTTCGTGGTAGACATTTTGGGGCTCGATTGCTTTCAGAATTCTCCAGATGATTCTTCATAGTTATCGTAGTCATACTGCATTCCCCCCCCCCCCGTTTCTCTATCTCCCCCCCTCCACCATAGAAAGAAGACCAATGTCATCTTTTCTTTATCTTTCTTCTTTTCCTCTTTATTTTCCTTCTCTTTGTTCAAAATTTAAACACTGTAGATTCATGGTTAAATGAACCTTACAGTTTTGATTATGGTAATAATTCATAAATAATGGAATTATTTTGATACAATTATTTCAGTACTTTCATCAACTAATATACGACCAGTAAGTTAATTAATATTTTAAGTATATTAATAATGAACAGTAATACGAGATAAAAGTAAATTATATTTATTTAGTGCATATTGATCGGTAATGACATGTTTGGTCTCTACAGAAACCTACATTGCGGAGAAGAGCACCTTTCGTGCAAGTCAAGGCCAATACTTGCAAGTGTCCATGAACAAGACAGGTGCGCATACTGAAGTGTATTTTCGCAGACTTCCTGATGGCTGGCAGTACGAGGATGAGAGTAGTGTCAGTGTTACACTTCCCCTGACCTTCAACCCAGTTACTCAGGGAGATGCTGGAATATACATTCTTGGTAATACTCAAATTAAGAAGAAACTTAAAAACGCAGCTGCAAATATTGCAAAGAAAGGTGCTTATTTTTACCTGATTGTCCGAGGTAAGTTTTATCAGCGTGATGCTTTATTATTATTATTGTTATTAATTCTCTGCATGTGGTGTATTTAATTTTGTTAATAAAATTAAAATAAGGTATTGATCTGAGAATTAAATCCCAGTACTAAACAAGTGAATAGATCACGAGGCTTCTCATAAACACTCGTACATATTACAAATGTTTGTTAGTACTGTGCTAATATATTATATTTACCATAAATGCGGAATTAATGCAGACATATTTCTTAATTAGGACAACTGTGCAACAGTTGCAATATTTTGAGGGAGTATGTAATCTGCTTTTTCCACTAAAATCAGAAATCTTATGCACAAGTCTAATTACAACTTGATGGTAATGTGTCTAGTTAATTTATTATTACCAGCATATACATTAATAATTGTTTTTGCCAGAATTTACACAATATTAAGGAAAGAAATTTGCTGAGGTTGTCTAGCTGTTTCTGACAACGAAATACATAAATAACCCGCACATTCGGTCCAAGACCGAAACATCGTTATAAGTTTCGGTCTCATAAGTGCAGGTTATAAGTGTATTGTTCCAGCCTCGGTGTTGTGACTTTTTATTCATTAGCAAACAAATGTTTTATTATTTTATGAGTAAATATAGCAAACTACAAGCTGATGTAAAATGTTATTGAAAATGCTTTATTATTATTATTACATTCATGGGAGAGTGCTAAACTCGTCGGGGTCACACAACGCCTGGGGGGGAATGGAAGGCATCAAGACTCGATTTAAGGAATTGGAGCACAGGTCCAGTTCCTTAGATCAAGAGCCTCTCACCAGCATCAGGAACCTCCTCTGAGGGGAGAATATGCTTAAGTTTTATAAATGACATATTGAATTCACAGATTACTGTTTTTCCAGCAGGTCAAGCTGGAAAGACTGTCCCTTTTTATTATTAACCCTGAAGGGTATAAGTAACACCGGAGGATGTAATTTACCATGCGTTTTCGTTCTCTGGGTTATTTACATCCTCCGTGTTATTTACATTCTTCTGGGTTATTTACATCCTCCGGGGTTTTTTACATTACGGGGTTTTTTACATCCTCCAGGGTTATTTACATTGTCTGGTGTTATTTACATCTTCTGGGTTATTTACATCCTCCGTGTTATTTACTTCCTCTGGGGTTATTTACATCCTCCGGTGTTATTTACTTCCTCTGGGGTTATTTACAAACCTCTGGGTTATTTACATCCCTCCATGTTATATCCTCCGGATTACTTATACCCTCCCGGTATATAATACAAAGTCTTTCCAGCTTGACCTGTTGGAAAAAACAGAGTTTGTTAGCGCTCTCAGAATTTAGTACAATGGGTAAGATAATCAAAATATGCTTGATGTAGAATCGCAGGGATTTCTTTACTTAGTAGTATTATCTAACAGAGTGCGAGGGTGGGCGTTATGGCCGGGATTTCCAGTTTTGGTGTCCAGACTGTGAAAATGGTGGCGTCTGTCATGCAGTGACGGCTCGTGTCTTTGTGCTCCAGGTTTCCATGGTCCCCCCCTGCCAACAAGGTAGTAGCATACATTTTTACCCATCATGGGAACTATCTTCCAGTTCCAATGTTGTCATTTTCAGTGTCACCTTGAAAACTATCAATAATGTTTTTTTAAACATTTTATAGACACAGCCATCCTGTTAACTGGTCTTCTGAAAATCTATCTTCCCCTTTTGGCCTTTACTTGTAATACTTTCCTAACATGACTCTGTCCTGGCTTTGTTTCTGAGATACCTTCCTTTCTTAACACATTGTCCCGGTGTAACATGCATTGGTCAGGGAGGTATAACATCTTTTAGGAGTGAAGACAAGCTGGATGTGAGTGTAGGGGAGGTAGTGAGGCATTAGGGAGAATGAAAGGGGGTGAAGCATCTGGGAAATGACGGATCATGACAGAAATATTAAAAATAGGGGGATATAGTGTTGGAGTGGTTGGTACTTTTGTTCAATAAATGTACGAAGGAGGAGGGTACCTAGGGATTGCAGAGTGTATAGTTCCTTTTTATAAAGGAAAGGAGGACAAAAGAGATTGCAAAATTATGGGAGTAAGTTTACTGAGTATACCAGGTAGTGTTTGGGAGGATTTATTAAAAGAATTAGAGGGAATACGGAGTGCAGGACTGCAGATGAACAAGGGGCCTTAAAAAGGGTAGGGGATGTGTAGATCAAGTGTTTATATTAAAACAAAGAATGGAATGTAGGAGGATGTTGGAGTTTACTAAAAGTTTAGTAAAAGGGCTGAAGAGAGGTGTTGAGGGGGTTTGGTCATTTAGAGGGTGGAACAAAAATGACTTGGAGAGCGTATAATGTGTAGGGGAAGGAAGGGGGGGTAGGGGTCGTCCCGAAAAGGATGGAGGAGTAGGTAAATGACGTTTTGTGGCGAGGGGCTTGATTTCGAACAAGCGTGCGTGAGCGTGTTAAAATAGGAGTGAATGGAGACGAATTTTTGGTTTTTGGGCCTGACGAGCTGTTGGAGTGTGAGCAAGGTATATTTTGTGAAGGGATTCAGGGGAAAACCGGTTAGCCGGGCTTGATCCCTGGGAAAAGGGAAGTACAAAAGCTTGCACTTTAAATGAGGGGTTTCGGATACTGGCAATCTGGGGGACATCTAAACTGTCGTATCTGAGCGCCTATGCAAAGACAGTGATTATGTATAAGTTTAGGCAGGGGGACCCAAAAAAGAAAGAAAATCCCCAAAAAGAAAATACTTTCATCATCATTCAACACTTTCACCACACTCACACATTATCACTGCTTTTGCAGAGGGGGCTCAGAATACAACAGTTTAGAAGCATAACGTAAAAATACACAACATATCCCTCCAAACTGCCAATATCCCAAACCCCTCCTTTAAAGTGCAGGCAAATTTTACTTCCCATTTTCCCGACTCAAGTCCGACTATATATATATATATATATAATAATATATATAATATATATATAATATATATATATTATATATATATATATATATATATAAAATATGTCGTGCCGAATATGTAAAACTGGTCAATTAGCAAGAGCTCATTTAAAATTAAGTCCTTTCTGAAATTTTTTCTTATACGTTTAAAGATATATTTTTTTCATTAATGTTGATGTAAAAAAATATAATTTTGCACCAAAAGAATCTTAAAAACTTACTAACCTTATTATAACAAGAACAATTTATTTTACCTAACCCTACTAAATTTTTTTAGATTTGTTTACAATAAATTTTAAAACTAAACAAACACAGTAAATATATTTATTTCGTTAGATTCAGAATGATTTTGGCGAAATTATTGCATACACAAAATTTTTACTTGTCCTATATGGCAAGATGAGCGTTGTTAATTAAGCCAAGATCGCAAGTTCTGCCTATTCGGCACGACATATATATATATATATATATATATATATATATATATAATATAATTTTATATATTATATATATATATATATAACATATATATAAAAATATATAGTTAGTAGTAGTAGTAGGTTGGTAGACAGCAACCACCCAGGGAGTACTACCGTCCTGCCAAGTGAGTGTAAAACGAAGCCTGTGATTGTTTTTCATATGGTAGGATTGCTGATGTCTTTTGTCTGTCTCATAAATATGCAAGATTAAGCATGTCTTGCTACTTCTATTACACT